AACAACAAGAAAACACCTTTTAAAAGACCAAGCTTATTTCCAGTGAAATATGTGCAATTTGAGATTCCTTTCATGTAGTTGCTGAAAGCTGGGGAGCTGGGAAGATGTTCTAATAAGTTGCATCATACTATCAACCAAATTGAATATTAAAACTTAATGCCAAGGACAGTGATACATTTAACATTGATATTAAAAGATACTGAGAATAAAAGCTGAGCTCCAAAAGAAGTTAGATGGAAGGAGAAAAAGGAGGAATAAACCAAGGTTTGAGGTTGTCAACAAGGCTGGAAAAAGAGACCGTTAGCAATCTGGTAGGCTTATGAATGTATATAAGTAAAATAAGTACTTGCTTGTTACCAGTTTGTAGTTTGACAGAAATTGGCAAGATGAAGTCTTACAAATTCCAGATGTGCTGTTATTCCAGCTGTGAGGCTGCACAGGTCTACCAGACTCCCTTTGTTTCCCCACTTCGCATTTTTTGTAATAAATTTGTTTTGCCACTATTCGTTGTTCTTGATTCTTTCATTTCTCAGCTTGTGCTCTCTTTTTCATGTCTTTAGCTATCAGTTTATGGATTCTGTTCCATTTCCTTCTCAAGGGCTGCACGGTGATTTCTGTGTATTAATCGCAAAATGTCTTAACAGGACTATCTGTAGACAGAGAGATAAATTATTCTGCAGTCCAGCATGAACAGTTCTGCAAGTTCTTACCGTGTGCTTTTTAGTAGAAATATTTCTAGGTTTGTTCGCTGCTTGATTTTTGAATACAAACTGAGCAATATTCTCTATAGTCACCTGAAGTGCTTTTGGCAGACATTGTATCCAGGGAAGTGGACTGAGTCACTCTGCTCGTGTAAATACTAGTTTACTGTGGTGTTTGGTGTAGAGCATTGAAAATGGAACTGAGTTTACTCTGAGCTATTCAGAGGCATTTAATTTCTTTGCATCTGTTTTATTTTTTGAAAGCAAAAATGGGGATAACTGACTCAGTTCTCAAGAACACAAATGGATTAGAGTTGCTAACTAATAAATTGAGGAATAAACAAGCTGATGTTCTTTCTGCCTTTGTACAAGTAAGTTTGTGCTGTCTGTGTTGCCTTAACAGGCTGTGAAATCAGCAGTGCAGACCATTACTGTAGGAGGAGTGGGTACATCTCAATTTAAGACAATTATCCCCTTGGCAACTGCACCCAATGTTCAGCAGATTCAGGTACCTGGAAGCAAGTTCCATTATGTCAGACTCGTTACTGCCACAACAGCCAATAGTTCAACCCAGTCGGCCAGTCAAAATCCCAGTACAAATACACAGCCTCTTCAACAGGGTAAGTGCTGGTACTAATGTATTGTCTGAAGTAAGGTTTTATTGGTGTGGTTTTTTTTCTTGTTTGTTTTGTAAGGATTAAAATGAGTATAATAGAGATCTATCAAGACTACCAGATGTACTTGTTTCTGTGGTAGATTCCTATAAACTTCATGTTCTACTGTTACCTCTGGTTTGTATGTGGAAATGCTCCTCAAATTGTTCTGTAGCTGGGCCTGAATCCTTAGAGCATTTTAGGTTGCTTTTCCCTAGTTTACCAGCTTTGTGGGTAACTTGTGGCAAGTCCCAGATCCTCTGTATGAAAAGTGTGAAGCCAGGACAGCCCACAAACGTACTGCCAAAACTCCTGCAACATGAAGATCCTTCCATCTAAAGTGCTTTAGAAGTGCCAGATGTTTCTGCTGGTTTCTGGCCATGCTTTCCAGAGCTGTGATGGAATAAAGGGTTTCAAACCAAGCTGTGATTTTTGTATTCCCCTCTTGCTACGGGAAATGCTTAGGAAAGAGT